CAGACGAAAAACACTTCCATCCATCGTAGTTTTCACCGATTCACAATGTGATCTCGAAATTGTAAAGAGGTGTTCTTCGGACACGAAAATGGCAAATGCAATTTTGGAGCTCAAACCAGATATACAGTCTCACGGAGGCGAAGTGACCCTTCAATGGATCCCAGGACATTCGGGGATTCCCTCACAAGGTAGAGCTGACTATCTTGCGAGATAAGGCTCTACCCAGCCTCATCCAAACAGGTCAATGACCAGCTAGGGATCAAGGCCTGAATTAAGGACCTTTTCATGAGGAATGGCTTAAAGAATGGAGAAAAGCCCAAAAACTTTACCGGAATATGCATGGAACAAACCGAAAAGACTATCAATGGTGGGGTCTTAAACGCCACCAGGAGAGCCTCATCACGCAGATGAGGACAGAGCATTGCCCTACTAGTAGCTAATAGAATAGGTTGACCCACTGAGGGATCCAAACTTCAATAACTGTGGACAGGCGCCGGAGACGGTCGAGCACCTACTAGCCGAGTGCTCGGCGCTAACGACTGGGGTGCTCCCAGCCAACCACGTTGAAAGTGTTACTAACGGCACAGCCCAGCAGATGCGGCCGGCATGTATCTTACTTGCCTGGGAAATAAAGAGCAATAGCTCGGTCCTAAAATGTGAATGTAATATTGCAGTACGATACTGAGCTTTTAGTGTTGGCATGAATCAAGAAGCTGGAAAACAGAGTTTCCTATTTTGAAAAATAAAATTGTCGCATCTCAGCTATTTGAAATATTCTCTGAATTAGTCAGTTTAGTTGGTCAAGATAAGCATATTTCGAAGCCGATATGCCAGCTTTTTTGCACAGTGGTCACTCTTACATTCGATCCAAAGAAGACCGTTTGCCTGAAGTATGACAGCAGACTTACGATTGCCGATTATCCAAGCCTACCATCTGGGATTCCATCATTATTTACGATGTTTCGGGCATTCTTTCTTTGCCCTTGTTTTGACCTCTTCGTGTCTTTAGGACTTAACCTTATCTTCCGTTACATCCCCCCCCCCCCTTTCCAATTCTAGGATCATTCCCGACTTTTTAAAGTCGGTTCAGTGACACGATGTGTTTTTCAACCAAAGTTTGAAAAAATGTGAGAAACGCAAAGCTTGCACCGTTTCCTAATAAAAGCTGTAGGAGAGACATTATTTGTCTCCCTTATACAGACTTCCTTACGGGGTCACAGAAACACTAGGGGAAAAAAAAGAAAACAACTTATAATATTTAGGTAATAAGTCCTTAATAATTCTTAAAATAATACAGCTTGTAAAATTTATTCTATTTATAAAACATCATTTTTAAAACCAAAAAAAAAAAAAAAAGAAAAGAAGAACATTGTTTTTCTCATTTGGTAAATGCAGACCATTGGTGCCATGACGTGTCACAATGCCACTTTATACAGACTTCCTTACGGGGTCAAAGAAAAACAAGGGGAAAAAAAAGAAAACAACTTATAATATTTAGGAAATAAGTCCTTAATAATTCTTAAAATAATACAGCTTGTAAAATTTATTCTATTTATAAAACATCATTTTTAAAACCAAAAAAAAAAAAAAAGAAAAGAAGAACATTGTTTTTCTCATTTGGTAAATGCAGACCATTGGTGCCATGACGTGTCACAATGCCACGACCCTTGAACTTTTCAAATACACTGTCACTTTTTTTGTTCGTCCGTCGAGGTTCGACGAGGACCATCGAGTCGTCTGGTGACTGATGACTTTGTTTAAAGTGAGGAAGAGTTGCGTGGCGTCTACCTCACTCTCTCGTCCGAGACCACCATATCCAGTGGCAGGACTGTACGTCAGGACGACCAGGGATGGGTTCGGTTGCAGGAATTGTCATTGTCACAAATGACACCGTCGCTAAACCTAACCTGAACCCAAAATGTATCCCTAATGGCGCCAATGCTCTGCATTTCATTAGCCTTTTGTTCTTTCTCTCTTTACATTTTGTTAAAGGGTGGTAGAAGCTTGACTACTTTATTGAAAGGTGTTGATAAGGGGTAGGGAAAAGAGGGTTTCAAAACTGTATGAATCAACTGTTGACAATTATGGAGTCTACCTACCAGGTTTTAGAGTTGGGGGGGGGGGTGGTAAACAAGTGAAAAATAAAATAGAATTTAGGGCACTAGTTCTCACGGCGGCCTTAATGTACAATGAATGTAAACTCTATAGCACCAAAACCACACATCTCTCTCAAGGATGCACACCGCAGTGGTTGGAGACAGTATAATGAGTTTCGTTCGTTCGTTTGTTTGTTTGTTTGTTTGTTAAGAGAAAGCACAAGATCTAGCTACACCAGTGCGACCCCAATACTACAATACTGTTGCAACACTGCTACCACACTTCAACCACGCTGCCACCACAACTCTAACATACTTCTTCCACCCAGTATTAACACACTGCTACTTCCTTTCTATCATATTGCAATCTCTCTGCTACCACCCTTCACAAATTTAAAACTTTAAAAAACTTGAACTTTCAGCCCCGTGTACCGCTAGCGAGTATTCATTTTGCAACGTGGATGAATGACGTCAGTGTCATCAGTAGCCAATCAGACCGCGAGACTCAGAGCGAGGTTGGCCGACATCACGAGACTTCAATAACAGGCGATGCAATAGTGATAGGTGCGTTTGCCTCTCTTGTGCTCATCTGTTGAATCCTGTATGGAGATGTCCATGAAAGCTGCCACAGCGTCACCTACTGCACCAATGTTGTCTCTAGTGGTTCTCCGTCTGACGATGATGTACGTTGTTATGGCAAACACGATGGCTGATTCAAGTGAGTAGCTCTAAATATGTCTTTCAAAGTAACTAATTAAATGTGCGCCAAAGGGCAATATGGCTTGTTCAGAAAGTTAATCATCCTGCTATATTAATCATGCTTTGAGTTTAAGGGCTGTAAAAAAAATACGACCACCTTGTAACGATATATAACATTTCCATTAATCACCACCGTAAGATATAACATTTCTAGCACCCCCATCTCCCGAATAAAACAAAATAAAGTCCAAAAACAAGCCGGAACAAGCAAACTTCGAACAATATCTATCTATCTATCTATCTATCTATCTATCTATCTATCTATCTATCTATCTATCTATCTATCTATCTATCTATCTATCTATCTATCTATCTATCTATCTATCTATCTATCTATCTATCTATCTATCTATCTATCTATCTATCTATCTATCTATCTATCTGTCTATCTATCTATCTGTCTATCTGTCTATCTGTCTATCTGTCTGTCTGTCTGTCTGTCTGTCTGTCTGTCTGTCTGTCTGTCTATCTGTCTATATGTCAATCTGTCTATCTGTCTATCTCTCTATCTATCTATATATCTATCTATCTATCTATCTATCTATCTATCTATCTATCGATTATCCTTCTGATTTCTCGAAAGATTACAGAATGTATAAATTCCGCTTTCACAAAATAAAGGGAGTTAACTTTCTCCTTAGAATAGGTCATAAGTTTTGTCCCTTAACGCGATGTTGGTACCATAAGTAACAGAAACGCAAAAGATAAATGTCTAGGCAGAGAAGCCTTAGCACCAAGTCCATGTCACCGCGGATGGTGGTTAAATCAAGTCAAAGTTAAGCACGTCGTATAAACTTAACAAGAAAATAGTCATGAAAAGGAAAATGATGTCCAACCAGAAGTACAAAACAACGTATATTAATAATACTCTCATACTGACCGACGAGAACATCTTCTGCCATCCATCACCGACAGCGCATTGGATGATTTTAGATTCTCTGACAGGTCGGGTACCCTAAACATTATATGTTTCACTTTACTCTAGGGAGTTGGAAATCACAATGTGACTCCGAGACATCTCATATACTTTGCCTCATTATATGATTGATATCTTTATTAAGATATATTCGTTTTAGAGATGACAGTTAGACTCGTCCCCATGTTATTTTCTCTGGATCTGCAATAGTATACCTGAAAATCACAGGTGAGGTATCTTATTATCGATACTGAAGTTTAAAAAAATATGAAGATATTAAACAAAGCCTTAAAAAAAAATTACAGTCTTTTTGTTTTGCTTTAATTTTAAATGGCCAATAGTTTATTTGAGAGTAACACTGACAATTGTCTCTTAAGCGGCAGTGTGTCTTCAAGTTTGTCAAGTTCAGATCCAAGATGTTCAATTTCATTGTCCATAAATATTTCCAATGAAGAATCCACTGTCTGGCAAAGCTTTTGAATATCCAAAATATGTTTTCGCATCTGGTCGCAATCTGGCCTTAGAAGTACGTCCAAGTACACATTTGACGAATCAAAGTACGTCTAAGGGTTATGCAAGCCTTTTTTGAATGTTGAAGAAACCAACAATCTGTGCTCTTTAGTCAGACGCTTCAGAGCGGCAACAAATTCATGTCAACATTGCTTCATGATTCGTCTTTGATCATTAGAAGTAATGAAAAAAACTAAATGGAAGACCATCTAAAGCCGTCATACGAGAAACTGTTTCTGCTAAGCTGGTTGAACTTGAAAAAATAGTCTACTGATAATTGCCTTTTTTTTCCTTGGTGTTTCATCCTCTGTGTTGGCTAAAAATTTAGAACAAGATGCCGTAGAGTTCCACGCTTTTGGAGTACCGGTGCCAGAAACGGTGATATCTTTCAAGACAGTGGAATGTGCAGACTAAATGAGTGTGAAAGACTGAAGTTGTACCTCTCAATGCTTTAAGTATCTTGTTACATCTAATGCATTTAGCTAGGAGATTGTCCGTAGCTTTCAAGAAATATTGCCAAACTGATGTCTTTGTTTCCGATAATTTCAAATGCTTTTCAAAATTAGGTTTATTTTTTTCAGAGTTCCCCATTTCTTTCTATCAACTTGAAGGGAAAATAAATCATTAACAAAAAAATTATTAATGTAATCGCACCAGTTTAAAGTGGAAAACTTTTTTTTTAATGTTTAAATGTTCATGTAAATATTTGACTAAGAACGGTACAGAGAAGCTGGGACATTCAGCCTGAGATAAAATACCTCGAAAATCAATTATGAGGTGATTGTGAATTATTAATATTTTATCACAAAATAGAAGTAACATTATTTTTCTGTGTCTCAAACTTAGGGTAATTGATTATCAAATTACGGATTCACTCATGTTTTTAAATATGCCTTTAGGCATATTTAGAAGAAATTAAGCAATCAAACATTTATGTTATTAAAAGTTGACAACGTGATTCGAGTGCAACGTGTTATTATTTCCATATAATTCATGTACCAAACAAACTCTTAATGGAAGTCTAATTCATCTTCATTCGACTATACCAATCACTTACCGTCAAGACTATGAAAACATTTACTGACCAATTCTGCACCGCCTCACTCGTCTCCACTTACAAACTACACACAGGGGCGTAGTGAGGGGGTGTGGGGGTGCGGTCCGCACCGGGTGACACCATTTTAAGGGTGACACCCGATTGAAAATTTGCATATTTACAGAGCACACAGTGCTCGGTCTAACAGAAGTTCATAAAAGGATAACCGACCACGCATACATGTTTCACAAATGTAACCAATCCAAATGCTTGCTTTATTAAAAGTTCAAGGTTGATGCGTCAGAAATGAGATGACCCTATGTTTAGGTCAGGAAAATACAGTCATTATTCCATGCCGGTTGAAATGTTCGGTAACTTCCGTAAGTGACAGGAGGCTATATTTATCTAAATTCTGAGAAATAGGGCTTTCCATTGATACCAAATAAGTGTCGGACAGTTTTAAGTAAAAAAAATCGGTGAAAATTAAAAACATTAAAAATGAATTATTATGAATTGTAACCCATTTATAGGGTTAAAAATATATTATTATACACAATTTTCAATCATTTAATAATTAATTCATTTTATTTAAATTTAAATAAAGAAATCTTTTTTGAAGACATATAAATATTATATATCTCCAGAAATACTCAAAAATTAATATTTTCCCCGATTCGTCACTAGTATAGGGCGACCAAACATCCCGCAAAAAACGGGATTGTCCGTTTTTTCACTATCGCACAAGGTGTCCCAAAAATGTCTCTCGGGACGCCTAAATGTACCGTTTCTAAAACCAAAAACATTTTCACATATTAGATAAGAAGGAGGTTTTAACAATGGCTGGGACAACAGCCAAATATCCTCAATTTAAATTCTAGAAAATATAATTTTTGTGGTGCATGCCCCCCCCCCCTCTGGATTGATTGGATAAAAATTTTGTAGACAAAAATAGACAAAAAAATTATTAAAGTAAAGAGAAAATAAAGAGAAAGTAACTAAGCTGATGTCCTGTCCGTTCGTTCACCATACAAATACGCTACAGTAAATTATTTGATGTAATTTTGTAATGAAAAAAATTTTTGCCCCCCCCTTCCCTAGTAAGTTAATCGATTTTTTTTGCCCCCCCCCCCGCCCTAGAAAGTTTTCTGCGGGTGCCCATGTTGTGGTGTATTATGTTGTAAAATATGTATAATAAATAAGTATTCACTGCAAAATTATTGTTTTCGTTTATGATATGCTTCAGGTTTGAAATTAAATTCAAAAGTGAAGGTAAATTTAAAAAGATTTCTAGTTATCAAAATATTTAAAAAGAGCATATTTCAATAAACTTTTTCCGCCAGAGGCCCCCTGGGCCTCTCTTCAACTGGAGGATCCCCCCCCCTCCCAACCCTCCTTGGGTGTGTCCCGTTTTTTCCAGTTCATGATTTGGTCACCCTACACTAGTATCGCCCCTAAACATTTGAGCATGACGGTCATATTTCGACTGATGGGTTTTACCTTCTACCTTTCTGTGTTGCATTTTGGAAAGTGCCCTGACTGTTGTTTTTGAACTATCGTCAGTAATTATTTGTTAGTTGTCTTAAACATGACAAAATTAAAGCATTTTTTATTGTTCAAGATCATTATATCATGCCACATGGCGTGCACAATTCTAAATGGCCAAGTGGCTGTCAGTAGTGAAAAGCAAAAAAAAAAAAAGAAGAAAATACGTAACTCACTAAATTCACTACCAGAATACGTGCTTCTATATGTCAAGAAAACAAATGATGACCAGGTTCAGGGAGGGTTTATTAAAAGACTTTCCTCAGCCTACCATTGATACTGAGTCTCCCGATACCAGCAGCGTGTATTCTTTTCAGCAAATAGTGGAGGAAATGGAACAGATTGATGTGAAAATACAAGTAAAAGACATGGATGGTTTGGAAACAGAAATTTTTGCTGATAATGTTGATTCAAACAAAGATACAGTAAATGTAATGGGTAATGACAAAAACTGGCACATTTTATCAGAAGCTTCTCTCTGGAATGTACCAGTCCCAAATTATTTTCGGTATTAAATTATTAAAATATGAAGTAGGACTACCTCGTTTCAGACCATTCAACGTAGTAACAAGGCAAAATGCGAAATCTAAATGAGTTGTTCGCCAACTAAAACAACAATAGATCTACGGAATGATGCAAAATGGAGAGAAAATACTGCGGTATTGGATGGTTTATTCACTCGTCAGTCAAAAATTGTATTGTTTTCGCTGCAGATTATTTGCTGTTAATGTTACAGAAACGACACCCAAATGTGTTACAGGCTTTGATAAGTGGTGGAAACTGAGCCGTGAATTACAAAATCATGAGGAATCGGAAGATTACCTATGTTGCCTTGAAAAGTGGAACTCATTGGCAGCAGGACTTGGGATAAACACAAAAAATGATGCCGAAAGTATTGCTGTGATGGACAGGGAGAAGAAAAAGTGGAAGAATATCCTGCACAGATTGCTGGATATCACATTGTTTCTTGCAAAGCAAAATCTGCCATTTCGAGGCCACATTGAAGATGAATCTTCACTGAAATTTTCTTGAAATGGTTGAGATGCTATGTAAATATTAACCAGTGCTAAAAGAGCTCCAAATGAGACTAAATTGGAGCACATCTACAGTAAAAGCATCTTTACCTTTCACCAGAAACCCAAAATAAATTTATAAAAATGTCCTTGCAAATCTTATGAAGGAGATTCTTATCATGGATATAAAGTCTGCGAGGTATTTTGGAATTATGTTCGAAAGTACACCTGATATATCAAACAGTGATCAGATGTCTGAAGTGATCAGGTATGTGAAAATCCACATTGGGAACGTTGAAGAGAGAGAGAAGTATTTCTTGCATTTTTCCCGTTAAGATGGAAAAAAAAGCTGATGACCTCAGTTCTGACATTCTTACAAACTAAAACTTGATGGACTAGACTTAATGATGTTCACAGCTCAGGGTTACGATAATGCTGCCATAATGTCTGGAATCCATGGAGGTGTTCAGACCATTCTGAAAAGAAATAATAAGAAAGCAATTTTTAATGGATGTATGTTAACTTGTGTGGTCAACACTCTTTTGCAGAAACTGCTTCATGTATTACATTATTCGGTACTCTTGAAAGAATATTTTCCTCCTTTGCTTCATCCAATCATCGATGGAATGTTCAAATTGAACACATTGGAATGTCGTTGAATAGATTCGTCACTAGTACCACCCTTAACGCTTGTATGTTTGGGGCTGTTCAACCCAAGAGTCCAGTATCGGCAATTGAATAAGGGTTATTGGCGTCCGTTCCAAAATTGAGCCCCTTCTATGATGACTTATTAGAAGATGAACTTTTGAAAGAAATACCAAGGCTTAGAAGACATCTAAGGGCAGCTGATATTGAATTTCACAAAGTCATGGACTGGTTGGTATGTATGTTTTAAAATTCAAAACTGAATAGTACTTCTTAGACTCTCTTCCAATACTCTCGATAAGCCTTCAATTATTTCTTACGATTTGCGTGTCTGTGGCCTAAAGTGAGCGGAGCTTTTCAAAACTAAGGTTTAACAAGAACTATTTACGATCCACCATGAGACATTCTAGGCTTTCTGACCTGGCTCTGCTATAAATTAGAAGTGATACAGTGAAGGACATTGATTCTGATCAAGTGATTGACAGGTTTGCAGGTTTGAAGACAAGGAAAGGAACATTTTAAATAAAGTAAATTTAATATGAAAACAACCGTAACTTAACGTTGCTACAGTTTTTAAATACTTTGACCTAGTGGACTTCGATATGTGCTTTTGTACTTGTCATTGTTATACTGTGGACTTATTTTAACAAGAAGACATCCATCATGGAAATTGTTGGTTTTTTTTGGGGGGGGGGGGGGTTGGGTTGGGGATGACACCATGAGTTTGACGCACCGGGTGACATCGTGAGTCTTCCGCACCCTAGCTACGCCACTGAATATTATATATGTCTTTAAAAAAACGTTTCTTTATTTAAATTTAAATAAATAAGAAAAGAATCATTAAAAGATTGAAAATTGTGTCAAGTAATATATTTTTTAGCCCTATGAATGGGTAAAAATTCATTTTTAATTTTTTTTTTTTTTTAAAAACAATTCTTATACGTAGAATCGCCCGACCACATCGTATTTGGTTTCAATGGAAAGCGTTATTTCTCTGAATTTAGATAAATATAGCCTCCTGTCACTTACGAAGTTACCGAACACTTCACTCTGGTGGAATAATGACGGTGTTTTCCTCACCTAAACATAGGGTCATCTTATTTCTGGCTCATCAACCTTGAACTTTGAATAAAGCACGCATTTGGATTGGTTACATTTGTCAAAAATGTATGTGTGATTGGTTATCTTTTTATGAATCTCTGTTAGACCGAGCAGTGTGTGCCCTGTAAATATGCAATTTTTCAATCGGGTGTCACCCTTAAAATGGTGTCACCCGGTGCGGTACGCACCCTCCGCACCCCCATCGCTACCTATTGTTGTACGACGGGTTTTAATTGTAATTATTATATCATATTTTTATGAGCGGTTCTCTATTTTCTAATGAGTGGTTCTCAATTTTCTATTGAGTTGTTCTCAATTTTCTATTGAGTGGTTGTCAATTTTTTTATAATTAGTATTCTCATTGTATTTTAATTAGTTTTTCTAAGAGTATTTTTAAAGAGATTCTCAAGGAGTGGGGGTCATTTTTGTCTTTTATTTTGTCAATTTTTCTAAAGAGAGGTTATCAAAGTGTTTGGATTGTATTTTTATTTTTCTTATATTTTAATTAGTTTGGTGTATATTTTAAGTGGTTTTCAAAGTATGTGGGGGTCTTTATGGTTGCATTTTAATAGTTTTTTTTAAAATTAGTATTATTATTGCATTTTAATTAGTTTTCTTGTATATTTTAAGGGGTTCTCAAAGTATGTTGGGATCGATTTTCTAACGAACATTTCTAATTGTGCGCGAGGTATAAGGGTGTTTTCTTCTTCTTATGGATACTTCTTTTGTAACATGATACGGCTATTTAATTTTTTCGAATCGTAATCAAATATTTCTCATTTTGAGTGGTTCTCATACTTGGATCAGGGAGCATAATGGAGTGGGTTTTTTTTAAATACCGGTTTTGTAACAAGATAATATTATTTAATTTGATTGAGGGGTATTTATTTATTTATTTGTTAATTGATGGTCTAATTTGTATACAACAAAATATATACAACAAAGAGGTAGCGTATAGTTTCAATATTCAATTGTTTTAAATTTAATTTTTTATTTTTTTTATTAACATTATTTTTACAAGACAAACATAGTTATTTTAAGAGTAAATGAGGACCACTGTGTTTTGAGACACAGGTTCACAAACTTTCGTTTGTCCAGTGGCTTGTATTTTGTCCAGGGTTCTCTTTGTATACACATGTCTTTCCAGACAATCCTTTCAAGGTATTTTTACTGTGTTCGTCAGGCTAATAAAATTTTTAACTACCATTACGAAGTTGAATTTATTACCTTTTGTTTAGGAGAAGACACCTCGGATGATCACGACTTAAACAAATCTGAAATTGATAGGTAGGCTGCATCCAACACAATTACGCTAATATACATAGGTCCCACCTTGTTCGTCACAATTGAAGTCAGTCATCAACGTTCTCCTAAATAAATTATAACATATTGGCGGCGTACCTTTTAATATTCTGGGCCGCCTTATTACTAACACCTCATCGGGAAAGTCTACTTTTTTGTCATGATACCTATGACCAGGACCGGATTTAGCCATCTTGGTGCCCTAGGCACAAACCCACATGGGTGCCCCCTCTGCCCCGGGCCCCCGATTCTCCACTGACTGCTGTCATGTTCAATATTATGCCCAAAAAAACATACAAAGAAAAACAGATGTAAAATGTAAACACATATGTTTGTACTACTAGCAATCATATGAAACCTACAATGAGGTATTTATGTATTAAAATTAATAATTAATTTATTTTGTAATAATAGTATACACAAAACTGTAACTTTTTTGATAGATAAGAAAGTCAGAGAGAGTACACATTTACATTTTAAAGTTATTTTTTTTCTAGATTTACGTCCGGCAAAGTTTTTGAGTACATCATCAAATTTAATTTTGCGCAACAAGTCTGCCTCAATCATCAGCAAAGATAAGGAATAAAGCTTTTCTTGTTTCATTGTCGATCTTCTTGGATTTTTTTGTACGTTTCGAGTGAGAAAAAGAGCGCTCAATTGAACAGTTCGTAACCATTAATGTTAAAAATATGCGCAAGGCGATTTCTACATTTGGAAAAGTACACTCGATGTTGTCTCTAACTATTACTTTGTAGAGTTCTGCAAGACTGAACGTGTTGTTCTCAGATTTTGATGCACGAAACTTGTGGCGAATATATGAGTGGAACAGTTGTAGTTCAGTATATGAATTATTGTTCAGATCTTCAGGATAAGCATTTATTAACACTTTGAGAACCACTCTTTAGAAAAATTAATTGACAGACGCTCAATAGAAAATTGAGAACCACTTAATAGAAAATTAAATAATTCAAGCCACTAATAAGAAAATCGACCCGACTTTGTGAGAACTACTCAAAATATACAAGAAAACTAATTAAAATATAAGAAAAAATAAAAGACAAAAATGACCCCCACCCTTGACAATCACTTGAAAAATACAAGAAAAACTAATTAAAATACAACGAGAACATTAATTATAAAAAATTGACAACCACTCAATAGAAAATTGAGAACCACTCATTATAAAATTATATAATAATTACAATTAAAACCCGTCGTACAACAACACGTGAAAATGTAAATTAATCGATACAATACCTCTTTTGTTATCAATGTTATCTTTGATGTTGTCTTTAAAATCAATTAAAATCAAATTACACAATAAGCATGCACAACAACAATGGAAACAATATACATGCACAAGAATTCGAATTAATAAATCAAAGGGAAGTAAATTATATAACAAAAATAAAAAGAATACTAATTATCGGGTTATAACCCCTTATTTCTTATAAACCTTTTGCGCCTGAACGCCTTGCGAAATTGCAGCCTGATTCCTACATATAATACTACTCCCTAAAATCCCAAAATTCGCTCCCATAACTCTCAAAATTTCCCTTGCATTACTCCCAACGTTTCCCTCCCATCAATCCCAACATTTCCTCCCATAGCTCCCAACATTTCCCTCCCATAACTCCCAACATTTCCCTTCCATAGCTCCCAACATTTCCCTCCCATAACTCCCAACATTTCCCTCACATAACTCCCAACTTTGCCTTCCATAACTCACAACATTACCCTCCCATTACTCCCAACTTTCACTCCTATAACTCCCAATATTTCCCTCCAATAACTCTTAATATTTCCCTCCCATAAATCCAAACATTTCCCTCCCATAGCTCCCAATATTTCCCTCCCATAACTATCAATATTTCCCTCCTACAACTCCCAAATGTTCCTCCCATAACCTCCAATATTTCTCTCCCAAAACTCCCAATATTTCCTTCCCATAACTCCAAATATCTCCCTCCCATTACTCCCAATATTTCCCTACCATAACTCCCAAAATTTTCCTCCCATAACTACCAACATTTCCCTCCAATATTACTTAACATTTCCCCCTACGACTACCAACATTTACCCCCCTTAATCCCCACATTTTCCTCCCATTACTCCCAAATTTCCCTCCCATAACTCCCAACATTTCCCTCCCATAACTCCCAACTTTTCCCTCCCATAACTCCCAATATTTCCCTCCTATAACTCCCAATATTTCCATCCGTTAACTCCCAATATTTCCTTCCAAACTTCCAAATTTCTCCTCCCATTACTCCCAACATTTCCCTCCCAAAACTAACAAGATTTATCTCCTACAACTCTTAACATTTCCCTCCCCTAACTCCAAACATTTCCCTCCAATAACTCTCAAAATTTCCCTCACATAACTCCCAACATTTCCCTCCCCTAACTCCCAATATTTCCCTCACATCACTCCCAATATTTCCTCCCATAACTCCTAATATTTCCCTCCAAACTCCAACATTTTCCTCCCATTAATCCCAAAATTTCCCTCCAGTAACTCCCAAGATGTATCTCCTACAACTCCCAACATTTCCCTCCCATAACTCCCAAAATTTCCCTCCAATAGGTCCCAACATTTCCCTCCCATAACTCCCAACATTTCACTCCCATAACTCCCAACATTTCACTCAAATCACTCCCAACATTTCCCTCCCATAACTCCCAAGATTTATCTCCCATAATTCTCCATTATCCCCTCCCATAATTCCAAACATTTCCCTCCCATAACTCCCAACATTTCTCTCCCATGACTCCCAATATTTCCCTACCATATCTCCCAACATTTCCCTCCTATAGCTCCCAACATTTCTCTCCCATAACTCCCAACATTTCCCTCCCATAACTCCCAACATTTCCCTCCCATTACTCCCAATATTTCCCACCCATAACTCCCAACATTTTCTTCCTATAACTCCGGACATTTCCCTCCCATAAATCCCAACATTTCCCTCCCATAACTCCCAACATTTCCCTCTCATAACTCCCAACATTTCCCTCCCATAACTCCCAACATTTCCCTCCCTTAACTCCCAACATTTCCCTCCCGTAATTCCCAATATTTCACTCCCATAACTCCCAATATTTCCCTCCCATAACTCCCAATATTTCCCTCCCAAAATTCCCATATTTCCCTCCCATAACTCCAAATATCTCCTTCCCATTACTCCCAACATTTCCCTCCAATAATACCCAAAATTTACCTCCTATGACTCCCAATATTTTCCTCCCTTAATTCCCAACATTTCCCTCCCATCAATCCCAACATTTCCCTCCCCATTTCCAACCTACGACTCCCAACATTTCCCTTCCTTAATTTCCAACATTTCCCTCCCAAAATCCCCCAAATTCCCCCCCCCCTAACCGGCCATAACTCACAACATTTCCCTTTATTAACTCCCATCGTTTCCATAAAATGTGTCCGTTCAATCGATTACCCGGATACCAGGTTCTGTGGGTCAACGGGGCAGGTGTTTCTAACATTTTTTACAGCCCAAAATATATAACTAAGCAAATATCTAACTTACGTACAAGTCAACTCTCTTTCGTTTAGTATACACCTAACCACACTGGCATAGCCATTTCCTCATTTACCTACAACCAACCCCTGATAACAAAAATCTAGCTAATTCTCCCTTGCCTATAGCATCCCCACCCTTCAAACCCCACAAAACAGGACTAGCCATGTCTCCCTTACCTGAAGTCACGAATACCCTAACATCGACCGATGTCTATATTCTTCACATTCAAAGATTGATATATTTTAAATACGTTTTATTTTTCTAACTACATAGAGCAGTTTTCTGAGGATCAAGAGCTTGAGCTCAGCCTTGGGGCCACGAGGAACAACGTCGAAGCTAAGAGATCGGATTTCCTGCAGGCCCAGACGTTGCCATCTGACGCCATGAAGCAAGACAGCATTCGCAATGATGGGTTTGACTCCTCTGATAACGACTTAAAAGAGCCAGTCAGTATCGAGGTTAGAAATGCCAAGAGCAGTATTGTTGATGAAACGAAGTGAGGAAGGATGTTGGAGGGGATGATCAGCCCCAACCAGAAATTTCAAAAAATATATATTACATTTGTTTGGAAGGGGGTAGAAGGGGTTTTCATTTTGAATCTTGCTGAATTGAGCAGTTGCTTCTTGGGGATTGCAGAAGGGTAAAAGACGTCTTTGGTGTCAGGGCCGTACGTGAGTTTAAAACACGTGTAATTTAACAACTTATAAAAGCTAATGCTTTATTTTAATTTTGTATTATGTTATTCTTGTTTTTTTTATATTAATGTTGTAATGCCCCACCCGTTTTAACACCGCATATATATTTCACAAACTATTTCAGGAAAAACAAAAACACTTACAGTATTTTTTAAGAATCTCATTTAGCGCAGTTATCGGGAATTTTATTTCGGTGGCATCACATTTACTTCATCTTTCCTTAAAACAGTGCGGTCCCACCTTTTTGAATATGTGGGCCAAAATATATTTTTCCTGGAACCCAAGAGCCGCAAATGAAATCTCATGAGAGAATTATTCGTTTTATTAATACTTATTACCTTAAGTATAAAGAGTCGTATATCCAATAGCATAAAGAGTCATATATCCAATAGCAAAAAGGGTCTTACATCCAAAAGTATAAAGAGTCATAGTAGCATAAAGAGTCCTATACCCAATAGCATAAAGAGTCACATACCCAATAGCACGAAGAATCATATATCCAGTACCATAAAGAGTCATATCCAATAGCTTAAAGAGGCATATATCCAATAGCTAAATGAGTCTTGTATCCAATAGCATTTTTGGCTCATCAAGAATATAAATATACGGAATAACAACTGTAGCCATTTTTAATGATATATTTTGCTTTGAGCTTTCTTTGAGGTTGTTGTCAGTAGAAACTGCCCTAAATAGACTTTTTAATGTTCCCCAGTGAATGTCAAAGTGTTGCATTTTTTGGACTTGATCTTGGTCATTACAAAGAATCCAGCTTCACTGATTTAGGGTGCTTCCAAAAAACATGGTCACAACGTTGTTACAACATATCCATACTTGTGGGAACTCATCAGAAGAGGCACATACCATCATTTATTTTGCCACGTACTCTTATGTCTGTTTATAAAAGAATGCTTTCAAGATCGCTACTACCGTCTCACACAGTCCTACCGTCTGACGCAATCCTACTGTCTCACACAATCTTACTGTCCCACACAATCCTACCGTCTGACACAATCCTACTGTCTCACACAATCTTACTGTCTCACACAATCCTACCGTCTGACACAATCCTACTTGTCTCACACAATCTTACTGTCTCACACAATTCTACTGTCTCACACAATCCTACCGTCTCACACAATCCTACTGTCTTACACAATCCTACTGTCTAACGCAATCCTACTGTCTCACACAATCCTACTGTCTCACACAATCTTACTGTCTCACACAATCCTACCGTCTGACACAATCCTACTTGTCTCACACAATCTTACTGTCTCACACAATTCTACTGTCTCACACAATCCTACCGTCTCACACAATCCTACTGTCTTACACAATCCTACTGTCTAACGCAATCCTAATGTCTCACACAATCCTACTGTCTCACACAATCCTACTGTCTCACACAATCCTAATGTCTCTCACAATCCCATGTCTCATACAATCCTACTGTCTCACACAATCCGACCGCCTCACACAATCCTACTGCTTCACACAATCCTACCGTCTCACACAATCCTACCGTCTCTCACAATCCTACCGTCTCACACAATTCTACTGTCTCACACAATGACTCCCTGATTGAATTGCATTAACTACAAACAATCACAGCCTGTATCCTGCTTTCTACATACACTCTAATCTCTGAATACCAGGTACTTGTCCCCAGCATCATAACAATGCAAGAAAGACACACATTCTCCCATACCTGGCTAGACTACCTGTCTAAATAACATGCTGCCATAACTAGCTCACATTGCCAACCGTAGTATTTAATTGTGACACATTTAGTACCCCAGCTCCCATCTCGATTATTATGAACCGATGACTTTCCTGGCAGTACTCACCTCGCTACACTCTCATATCTATTTTTATCTAACTTTGTCCCGTAGGCGAGGGCATGGACATAATTACAATGATCAAATAGCCACACATCAAGCTAATTTTGGTTTCTCTATTCATCTTTCTCAGTGACGTTAGTAATTTTACCAAATACTCAGCGATGCCTCCCCTGTACACACAAAAGAAACACGGAGAAGATATTAACCAATTTTATTTGATCCAGGTTCCCAAAAAGGTGTGCTTAACCTCAAAGCTTTCCGCCAAACCATTTGACACCTTAACTTTTGTGACACTTTCTTCACAACTTCTCCTGTGCTCTCAATCGATTTCCTAGCAAAACTGACTCAAAGAATGGAGTTTTAAAATATTTTTCCCCTAAAATATTTTATTTTTTACACACATAAGAATTTCTTAAGCTGTGGGGTCGGGGGTGGCATTTAAAATCAGCTCGCGGGGGCGTTGGTTGGAAATCGCTGCCTTAGAAAAAAACAGATTGGGGGAGGGGGGACTGAAAATTTGAAAGAATGTGTTATCATTGGCAAAGAGTCTATGTGCTAAGCTTCAGTTCGATAGGTTGACGGAAAATGGGTCACTTACCCGCACAGTCAGCCAAAAAGAAACACACGAACAAAATAAAAAGTTACTATAAAGGATTTAAAAATAATGCATCTATGATTCTTTGCACATCACATGTTAGTCTGTTGTTGGTGCCACTAGTGACTTTCTGTTCAGGTGCTTTCATCTATGTATCCGTTCCTTAAACAGAAACGCCAGGAGCCACGGAGGTACAGAGTCTGCGACGTGTACCAGAGGTTATTACGGTTGACTCATGCCAGGGACAGCAACGGAGACCTCGTTGAGCTCGTTCAGGACCAATTCTCGCAGTCTTTCCTTGTTGTAGAGTGCCTTAGTGAGCACAATCCTTGTCAATGGATAAACACCACCATGTACGTTTACTTACTAACTGGACTGAGATTTCAAAGGGTCCATGTCCAAGTCAAATATTATAGACCGTAGTAAGAGCCGAGTGAGTTCAGTTATAATTTTGCTGACCGGAGTGAGAGCCGGGTGACTTTATTAAGTACACTCTTAGTTGTTTGATTACTGATGTTTTGCTCCATTAGTAATTTTGTATTTTGAGGGGTGTCGCCTGACCACCCTGGCATCCCCTGGGGCGCCCATGTATTCAGCACAAACTAAGTTCATTTTACGACTGAAAGCACGTTTCTGCTAAATGCCTTCTCCAGCAGACAATACAAAATTCAAAAACTATGTAAATTTAAAAACTGAAGAGTTCCCAGACCACAATGCAGAAACAAAGGCGCACTATAAAAACGGAAGTAAAGTGTTGTTCATCCAGTGAGAACAGTTAAAACTAAAGATGGGAAATCAATACCTGATGAAGAGGGTCAGAAAAAAAGATGGATAGGACATTTTGAAGAACTCCTCAACCGGCCAGCACCACAACACACACTCAACATAGAGCCAGCGGAAAAAGATCTAGAAATAGAGTGCAGCACACCCACAAAGCAAGAAATATGCATAGCAATTAAACAACTAAAGAAAGGCAAGGCGACAGGTCCAGACAGAATACCGACAGAAGCCTTGACAGCAGATATTACGTCTAGCACTGAAATGCTACACACACTATTCAAGAAAATATGGGAGGAGGAACAGATACCGGCTGAATGGAAAGAAGGACACCTCGTTAAGCTCCCGAAGAAAGGAGACCTTAGTTCTTGTTCTAACTATAGGGGAATAACCCTGCTGTCGATCCCAAGCAAAGTATTCAACAGAATGGGTGTCGCCTGACCACCCTGGCATCCCCTGGGACGCCCATGTATTCAGCACAAACTAAGTTCATTTTACGACTGAAAGCACGTTTCTGCTAAATGCCTTCTCCAGCAGACAATACAAAATTCAAAACTACCGTATGTAAATTTAAAAACTTAAGAGTTCTCAGACCACAATGCAGAAACAAAGGCGAACTATAAAAACGGAAGTAAAATTGTTCAAAACATGCCTCTCACAGAATTCTGTCGTCCGCACTGTCAAGGTCAATGAATTAAAGTAATTCAAGTATTATGAAATTACAATTAATAGTTTAAAGAAATGAGAATAGAACTGGAAAGAAATTTAGGACAGTTCGTAAGAAAGTATTTGATTGATTCCATACGAGGTCGAAAATCGGAATTAATTTCATTCTTCACTCTCGCTAGTGTGATGGTTCTGATGTGCCCTTATTTTTTCATCTGCTGAAATTTAAATTTTATGAGACCGGGGATGGCTTGTTTTTGTTTCTTCAATATCTCGAAAACGTTCACTGAATCTATTAGATATCTGTCCCACCTAATATTATTCATTTTGACAACCTGATTTTATCATCTAATAGGTACATGTCTCAGTGTGTGCAGGGCACATCCAACATATTGGCATGGGTTTTCAAGACAAAAAATCCAAGATTGATAAAGAAAATACCCATTCAAGTCAAGACACGATGCTACTGTCAACTAACTGAGAATTGTTAGACATATTAAAAACTGAATCGGAATTTTTTTGGCGGCAGAAAAAAAAAAGACAGGCAGATAACTAAGATATTTCCTAACAACTAACAAAATTACCGTACTTGTGGAACCCCTTTCAAGCATGTAGTTCATTTATTCTAATACAATCTGAGATTGTTTTGTTTGCTAAAATTTTCTCACTCAAATAAACTGATCTTTTGTTACAAATATCAATTTTGTTAAGAGCAGAATTTTAAATTAAATGTATTGAAACATTTTGTGAAAAATGACACTAGCAAAAAATTTCAAATAAAGATTTTTTTTAATTATTCCAAGAAACAATAAAATGGGTAACTGTTAAACTGCTAAATGATAACTGTTTAGCTATTAAAAACAAGAAGTTTCATTATAATAAAATTTAGCAAACCCCAGCTTCAGAACGGGAACTTGTTCAGTTCGTCATTAAAGAAAATTCATCTCTTCATAACGTTAATGAAATTGATACGCAACTAAATCTGAATGTACCTTTAGTATAGCAAACATAATCAGACTGTTGTAAATGTATGCCAAACTAAGGACTATTCATAAAGCTTTAGTCAATAATTGGTTGGCATTAGGACAGTGTCCAGCTCGATATGACCAATAGTTTCAAATCATAAAACAGCATAAAAATAGATTGAAATTGAATAATTTAATTATTGCTCCTAAATAAAATTGCTCTTTTTACGATCGGACTTAATGGGGAAACAATAAAAGATGAGGCGAGGTCGCCGTGTTTTGCGTTCACCATTTACTGGACGCCCAAATTCTTTTGCTTGGACAATTTAAAAAAAAATTAATATTTTAAGCACTGCATATCCTCTTTAAAAAAAAAAGATACTAAGATTCTATAATTGATGAAAACTTGGTCTTAAATAAAATTGCCTTCCTAAAGTCAGTTTTTGGAAAAACTGGCAAGAATACAAGAAACCACTGAAGTTCTTCAATCAGAAACAATAACTCTTGTGGTACTGCAACCATTTTTGAAAATTCACTTTTGGAATCAGTGGTGAACATGGTGGGTGTGCAAGTGGAGTGAGGGGGGATCACTCCGGTCTGCAATTTAGGAGGGATGGTGGTGGTTATTGTTTTTATGTTAGATGCAATGTTCCCTTTAAGCTGCGCGGCTGCGCGATAGCGCAGCTAAGTCACAGACGCCGCGCAGCAGTTTTGAGTATCCGCGCAGCAAATTTCCATGTCAGTGTGTTTTTGTGGGCTGCACAATTTTGCACAAAAAAAAAAAAAATTGATACTGTAAAACTTTGCACACAACGGTTTGATTTTGCAAAGAACCAGCAAATCTTAGAGGGCATATCGGTAAGATGAATTCACTTTTGGAATAGAGAAAATGTAGCTAAGTCACAGACGCCGCGCAGCAGTTTTGAGTATCCGCGCAGCAAATTTCCATGTCAGTGTGTTTTTGTGGGCTGCACAATTTTGCACAAAAAAAAAAAAAAATTGATACTGTAAAACTTTGCACACAACTGTTTGATTTTGCAAAGAACCAGCAAATCTTAGAGGGAATATTGGTTAGATGAATTCACTTTTGGAATAGAGAAAATGTATTAGGTGTCATCCATAAAGTACGCAGGCCTACGAACTGAGGGGGGAGGGAATTGTCAATTTTGGTGATTTTGCGTACGCGTGCCTATAGCTGGGGAGGGTAGGGGGTCCTACAGAAGAATATACGTACATTTATTTTACAATTTTACAATAATAATCCTGAACTTCAAGCTGTCCAAAAATGGCATATACTGTAAAAATGTCACGCAATGTTTTGGAAATTATCGTCATATTGTTGCTATGTATTTTGACAAATGAACGCACTAGATATCGCTCAAATAGTACTTAGAAGTAGCGATTTACAGTAATATTTAGTCCACCGGGTGTTCAACGTCAGTGTGACGTATATTTTGTTGGGCTACGCCTACGCCAGTAGTTTCTACATTTTTTCGATTCGCGGCTAAGCCTAATTTTAAGTTTTCAACAGGCGCCCTTTGTGAAATTTTAACTAGTACACTCCGAAATAGGTTACTAAGCGAATAACAGAGCATTCTCTCGGCGCAAGCAAGTTGCAGTTGAGCAAGAGTTCCGTAAAGTTACGAAAACAAATGCCATTGGTTCGAGTATACGTAGTCTACAGAAGACAAGGAATGTTTCTCCTTGCGGCTACTACTTCATCAAGTGAGAGTATCCACGTCTTTCCAGGCCCTCGAGAAAATTGATTTTTTTCCCCCACCACGATCACATATCTGCTTGCAAAGCTCTTTGATTTCTAGAAAACGACCAACACGGAGCAGGCTCAAAGATTCATCTGTAACAGACTCTTTTCTCTCAGTAACTTCCCCCCCCCCCCACGTTTCCTCCCCATTTGTGTTTTCATTAGACTTTTGGCAGACGATGTAAGTCAAACAAAGAGGCTTCATTTCCGATGAAGTCTAAGCGTAGACACAGGCCTCTAACCTATGCAGAGTCTTTAAAACTACGTTCTTCCATTGACAGTAGAACCCTCTCAATCCCAAGAACTAAAACTAAGACCATCGGTGAACGCTCCTTCTGCTTCCATGGGCCCACGTTCTGGAACCAGCTCCCCTTCCATATACGTCATAGTGAAACCTCGTCCATTTTCAAAAAGTCCCTTAAAACTCATCTGTTTAGGTCCGCCTATGACCTGTGATGCACCCTCCTTGCCCTACCT